AAACTAACCTTTTAAAGCAATGTCCGTATCTTATTTATGGGGTACAAACCTCAGGCTTGCTTTGGGCCACTCACAGACTTTACTTCAGTGCAGCAACCTTTTTTGTTGTTGTTGTTTGTTTGTTTTTGTTTTTCCCTAAGCGCGACTATCTACAGAACGGCACTCGAGCATTTAACTCGCCCAACCCAAGCCCGCGCTCCGCTTTGCGAGGGGCGCCTTAGTGCCAACGGTCGGCGGGGCACGAGCCCCACCCAGCGCCCGGCCGCGGGCGGCCTCGGGCCCTCGGAGCGGGTGGCGCGAGGGGACGCGCTGCTGCTGTTGGCCTCGGGCTCTCGTGGCGCGTGTAAAGGCCGGACAAGATAGTATAGAAGAAATCAGCAGACCAGCGACCCCAGAGCAACGGGGGCAAATGATTTTTAGGTAGATTTTTCAGCTTAAAATTTGGCCAGTTTTATCACGGGGATGGAGAATACTGTTTCGATGTTCCTCTTTTGCTGAAGGTCTGATCCAGTGTTTGTCATGTGTCTAACTGGTGGAGCGCAGCCAGGGGCTGCGTGACAGCACTTGTCTGGTTAGAAACCACAGGTCATGGCACAGGGCAGGCGGATTTCATGTTTTTCTTTTCCCAAATCATTTACATCAACGAAAAAGCAAGTTGCTAGGAGATCACTGTTGGTTTGAGAGGTTATTGCCTTGTTTTTTAAAGCCTGAAAAAGTTGATAACACATATATCTATTCAGAAGTCCCAGAGGGGACTGTGTTCTGTGGAGCTCCACAGGCAGCAACCTATTGTGTAATCTGTGCTCTCCTAAATGCTTAGGTATTAATTTAAAACTAACAAAAACATATCCATGGTAATGGCTGCAGCTTCAACATGCTCATTGGTTCTTTCCTGAACTCCCACCTTTTAAAAATTTTATTTTCTCCATCCAGTGTATCAAAATTACTGACATAAACCTCTGTACAAGCAATCTGCATAAGAATGCCTCATTTGGAAAGTAGCCCTTGAACTGTGCAGAAAGCTGTGCAACAATAGTGACAAGGAAACATGTCTAGCTTATTGTACTAGTGATAGTAAGCAGATGAGGGATTTTGACCATCACAGAAATGCATTAGACATCTGACTTCGTGTGTGCATTTAATGCACTTCTGAGTGTGAATGCATTTAATGTCTCATCCCTAAAACCACCATATCCTAGCACTAGATTAGAGCTACTCTTAACGGTGCCAACCAGCATTTTTCTTAACATCCTCAGTGAATAGGCTCATTGTACAGCCTGGATGAACCTGTGTAATAAGAAATGATGCTTCTATCAATGAAAGTGCACTGTGGTAGATTAGGTACAGATGTATTTTATTTAGAGATTCAAACTAGGATAAACAGCACCAATGAATACTGGCAACGGAAGGTGCAGTAGTTTAGTTATGCTGATACAAATACCCCAGAATGGAAAAGTTCTAATTCTTCACACATTTCCTTATTTCCTGATAAGTCATTGTTTTGATGGGAAGATCATTCTAATGCAAGGCAGAAATCTGGGTAACACAAGGAAACCTAGTCATATTGAGTAATAACTTTAAAATATTTTCCTTTCCTGCATGGCTTGTAAGCAGTTTGGATGAGGACTTCAGTCAATGACTGACCTCTTGATTATAGAGCAAGCTGGTGATCTGTGCCCACACTCCTACCTAAAGTTACAAGACTGACGTGAAATTGTGGGGTGAAATACAGATTACTCTGACTGAGCTCAAAATATGCCATCAGAATCTTTAAATGGCAAAAGTCTCCTATCTGTCATGTGTTCACCTTCCCATTCCCCCTCCAAGGCCTCTCCATTGACTTCTTCAAATTTGTCCATGCTTATTATATAAAATTATTTCAATAAATTAAATTCTAGTTGTTGAAAATTACAGTGAGAGGTCAAAAGTTTCCCAGACGTATTGTTGTTGCAAAGCCTTTCTACTCACGGCCAGAGATGCATTTAAGTTAGCTTTAGCATGCCTCGCCTGCAGGTCTCTCTCTTTCCAAGAAAGCATTATTGAGCATTCCCATCCCAAGGGAGCTGTGAAGTTGAGCAGAATTAATAAAAACAAGGACAATTTAGATTTATAACATTTCTTTTGTAACTTAATCATACTACAGCCAAAGAAATGATAGCAGTAGTGGAAAAGATGTTTCTGGAATTTAACAAATTAATCTATGTTGCCTTTATCACAGAGCTTCTTAGAAATAAAATGCGTTAACACGTTTAGGAGAGAAGTTTGTCAGCTACATACTGTCTTGGAGTGGGTTTAGAAGAACGAGCCATTCCCGTCTCCTCCCCAAATGACATGGTCACAAATGAATTTTGTAAGAAGAGTCTGGCTTAGATTAAAAATATCTTCACTGATACCTTTCAAGTGCCTCCCAGCCACATTACTCTATTTTAGGAAAACAAAAGCTGTCAGTGAGATATCCTTTGTCTTTGGGCAGGATCCATACTGCAGTTTGCATAAGTAACATATCTTAAAGCAGGCTGAACTGGTGAAAGTTTAAAAGCAACAGATAACAGCTTCATTCATTAGGTCCTGATTTGGAAAAAGTATCCAGCACTCTTTTTTTCTTTTTGCCAGGCAGACATGTTGACAAGAAGCAGTCCTAAGACCAAAAATAACTATCCAGCCACCTATGAACATATTCCTGTCATGACTGCATATTGGAATGGTTTTACAGAGGATGAATAATCCAAGAAAGAAAAAATAATCTAGTACATACAGAACACTAGCGGATAGGAAAACATGGAAATTCAAGCACAGCAGAAAAAAACAGCAGTCAAGTATGCTCCCTCCTTTTTTTTTTTTTTTTTTCTCTCATCCTGGAAAGTTATTTGAGTTTGATTTTGTATTCGTTATGGTTTACATAATAAACATTAAGCATATCAAGTATGGCTTTCATTGTTTGCTTGGAAATATAAGTTGCATATGTCAAATCAATAAACTCAAGATGTAGATGAAAGCCACTAAACTCTCCAGAATGCCATGCATAAAGACTGGCACTGGCAGAAGTTAATGAGATACACTGAAAAGGGAAAAAAAAAAAAAAAAAAAGGAATGGAACTACAGAACCAGAATTTTCATATGCTTGAAGGAAGCAACTGTTTAGTTTTACTGGTGTTTTTCCTGCCACCATTTGTTCCTTTTTATGTATAGCTATTTTGGGAGAAGGGGATTTCTATTTCTATGTAGGTTCCTAAAACACATTTAACACTGTAGTTACTTTTATAAACAGCAAAAATGGTACTTGCCTTTGACTTTTGCATATATGACTCTTTCTTTGTTAGGTAGATTTTTAAGATAAAATTAGTTATTCCTATAATTAGTGTGGAAGCTTCAAAACATACGTGCAAAAACAGAAAACAGAAACTAAGCTTATAGAGTGGTTGAGCTGATTTTACCATGACATTTTTTCCATTCAGTTGGAGTATCATTTTAGTTAGAACCAAAATCCTTGGTCATCTACTAGCAGCTTAGCTTCTGAATATCCAGATGAATGTATTTATTGTGTATGCCCTCTATCCTTGAAAGTATCAAAGCTGTAAGTTAGGGTGTATCTGAAGCTAGGAATCAGAGCAGAAGTATTTACAATGGTTTTTGTATTGAAATGAACCCTTTCCTTCAGAAGTTGACTTTGCTCTGTGACACTCGCTCTGGTAAAATTCACACATGAAACACATGCTGCATTAATAAACAGAGCTTTCTGCAACAGCACCGTGAAGGTCTGTGGTGCAGAGGAGAGTTATGAGCCCCAGTTCCTACTTCGAACTGTCTGGAATATTAGTCACAAGCTCCAGTGTTTCCAAGGAACACTTTCGTGGTCATTTGGAAAACCAAATGCCACAAACAAGGAATTCTGACAGAAAAATAAAATTGTTCAGGATAAGCAAACACCACAAGTCTGGGGGTGAGCCGATGCATTTTGGTGGCATAGTTATTGCATTCATCACTTCTTGTGTGGTTTCACTCTTTGTGCAAGTGCCATAGCAAGTCCACGAGTGTCGAAGTAAAAGGGTCGTAACTGCAAGCACGGGAACACTAGGACACAGGCTCCCCCTCGTGGTGAAAACCGCACCCAGGTTGCTGCAGGAATACGCTAGCGCGATTTGATACTTTAAAGGGAAGTCTTACATTTGGGTGTGGAAGGTTTTGAAGTATCTGATTTTTTATCGCTGCTGAGGAATTCTTATTTAAAGATCAACAGATAGGGGAAATGAGAGAAACACATCCAGACTGCTGCAGACTAGTACTCCTAAGGATTTATGCTCCGAGTCAGTTTTAACTCTGACCTCCACATCTGTGCTTGACATTCAGACAACAGCACTAACTACGCAGTAAGGGAAGGACGATGGAGCATGCCCTGGTCTCAGATTAGCATGCTGCATTCCCACAGTGAGCAGTACACCTGCTGAGGCAGGAGATTTTGTACAGTCCAAGACTTTCTTCAGTTTTAAAATATGCCAGTTGCTCTCATCTGAAAAGCAAAATCTTAGTGTCAGTCCACTTGCTGTGCACATGATCAAGTGTCATTCTACAACTACTCAGCTGCACCAGAAGAGCTTTAGAAGACAAAAGAAAGAAAATAAAATAAATACAAAACAGGGCAACTTCAGAGTTTGCTGGTTCCAGCTGTTTTCAAATATTTCACGTGTTGATCTTGTTGCATGTGTGGGGAAAATAAATAAATAAAAAATCTTTTCCACCACAAGGAACAGGGAAAATAGGGAAAACACAGGCATATCTGAAATCCTATTAATGTTTTTATACTCTCACTTTTAAAGATGTAACACTTATGAAAGATGAAAAAAATTACAACAGTTACAACTGCTTATGTGGGTGGAAAAACAAACTCTAAGATTTTTCATTTAGAATTTATTATTTTTCAGTATTTAAGTATATGAAATGGTTTATCATTTCATTGGTATATATTTCATTGGTATATCATTTCATTAATTTCCGAATACGTTGCATCAATAGAAAAGCTAAGCACAAGAGGATGAAAACCAATTGCTGGTTGAGTATTTTATTTTCACATTCAGACAGCTGTACATTTTCTATAAATAGATGTGGTCCTACAATATTTACATCATATCCTCACCCATTATAAGTATATTCCATTTAATATGGTAGACACCCTGACCAACTCAAAACAAGGTTATTTCTGGGTGCATTTACTCAGAAACCCATGTCAAAACATACAATACATCGTTTTGCAATCAGAGCATTTTTTTCAGTTAATCTGCATGTAACATTTTTTCTACAGTTTCACCACTTCTCAGCATCCTAACAGCTTTCCAGACAAGTGCTGTACAGTTCAAGAACAAAAACAGAATGCAAAAAAAAACAACAAAAAACACATTCATATCCAGCCTCTTTAAAATAAGAAATGTGATCGATACTTTTAACAGAGGGAATTCCAGTACACACTAACACAGTATTTGCAAGATTCCTCAATATACAGCTACAGACTGACAAAAGTAATGGCTTAAAAAAGATCTGGACCAATATAATCCCATAGGCTTCTGAACATTTTCTGCAGATTGCCATAGGAATGTCTTGTATAAAGTATAATCACAGTCTCAGAATTGCACAGGTTTGCTAAGTGCTTCCACTACTAGCAATTTCTATTTTTACCAATCCTTATTTTCTGTTCCCTTTGATTAACCACTTTAGGTACTGCTACATGCAACTCTACTCTTGAGATATTTGCAAATGTTATTTAAATTCCCGTTTGAAAATCCACACAGTCCAGAATGTGTCAGGGGCTTCCACAATATACTGCCTTCAAAGTTTCCTCTGCCTGCACTCGTTTTTCCACTTTACTAGTAGTTATTTCCACAGATGTATTAAATTAATTGCCAAACTTCAACTGCCACGTGATATTTTGAGACTATGGTAATTAAACTGTTCATCTCTACCAAAAGGATATCATAAGCTATGCGATGAGAACTTCATGATGGTGTGTAAATATGAGCAACATGAAAAGAAAACAATAAAACCACTACATTTAAACGACATGCAGGACCAGACCGCTTCCACTGTGCACATACCAGAGAATCTGCAAGCAGAAGTCTGCAGTTGTAAAAGTAATAAATCTGCAACAAGTATCACTAGAAACAAACAAAAACAACTGAACTCAAGTTATATTAGCCATTGTAAAAAAAAAAAAAAAAAAAAAACAGGATTCCTTGGAACAGTCAGAATAAGTCACCCATAGCTGGATGCTGATGCTCACATGTGTCCCATTAACAGCTCACATAAAAATTCCATTAAGATGAATTCAGAAGGAGACTGAGCAGTGATGTCTTAGATTTTCCTACGAGGCAAGACTTGCAGGATCATACATAAATAGTCAAGTTTTTACAGAAGACTGTAGAGTGAGATCTAGGAAAAGGAATAAAAATGGGAGTAGTGCACGCCAATGTGCCAGAGGGTAGATATTCTGCAAACACTGTGATCAACTGGAAACTGGACGAGGTGGTTTGCTTTTGTTTTCTGCCTCTTTCCCACGTATGGCAGCCACATAAGAGAAGAGACACAGCACGGAGTAGCAGATCTCGTGAGCCTACAGAATCAAGAAAAGGAGATAATAAAGTTCTGGATGACTCAACATTTACAAAATCCACTGCATATTTTATATCTTGTTGCATGTCTTTCTTCATGAAACAACTCCTCTGGCTACAAAGGCTTGAAAAAGTGGCCCATCATATCTTCTTACTGAGATGGAAAGGGATCACAGGCCTTTATAACAAATAAAAGACCTTTAGAATAAAAGCATTATTCCCTTGGTAATATGATTGCTAATTGTCTTTAATACATACACTAGGCTATAAAATTGGCCAATGCCAATTAAAAAAAAAAGGAACCTAATACTTGATTTTGGTTTGTTGCATGAAGGTATACATTTTCTGACAGGGTGGAAATAGTTAACTAAAAAGCTGTAAAATTAAACATCTAATACTGTACCTTAGTTTAGGAGACAGTGATGTTGTTCTTTACACAATTGTAATCTCTTTATACACAGTAGTACAAGAATTGGTAATCCTTGCAATTTTTAACCAAAGCTACAGAATTCATAGATAATAAAAGTTTTTTCTTTAATGAAAAACAGACAAAAAAAAAGCAAAAGGAGCAGTCCAACATTGCACATTTCTTACAAAGAATACCAATCTATTAAATATTTATATACTTATAGCAGTGAGTTTCATTGTCTAATGGTATATAGCATTAGTAAAATTTACAACTCCTGCTCTTAAATGATGAAGTCTTTAATTTAGTTATTTAACAGAATCTTCTTTTAGTATAGTGATTGGCTGCACAACTCAGTGAAGACAGAGCTTAGACTTGGTATGCTGGTGACTTTAAAAGTTCTTGCTTTGAACAGTGATATTTATATTTACCATCTTTCTAATGCACATAACAATGTTATGTTGCATTATAGGACAAGCCACCACAGCTTGTGCAAAGTATCATTCATTTTCATTAAATTGTTTCATTAGATGGTATAGGATTCAGCTATCTGTTTCTTAAAGCATCTCACAAGTAGTCTAGGATTTTTGATTATAACCCATTTCTAGCTTCAAATAATTTATTTCTTTCCATCCCCTTCTCTTAAAGAAAGGTGAGCTTCCATACAGTCACCACATGCACATGCTGACACTAAGACACTAAGTACTAAGGGCTACGTATCCTCATCAGCTGTGTCCAAAGATTTTTATAAAAACCTGAACACTACAGCATAGCAATGATGCATGTTCTGGCAGGAATGGCTACCTACACCATTCTCTTGCATCTCACTGCTCACTTCACATGAGAAAGCAGGAAAAGTTCATCAACCCAGTGATCATTTCTATATCCAGAAATTGATCTCCTTTTCTATCTACCCTCTGGATAAGTGATTGTGATCTGCACTGTCATGAGTTTAGCAGTCAGCAGTTTCAGCAGCATTCAACATAAAAGTCATATCTTGCACCTTTTTAAAGCTTTTAAAGCTTTTGCAAGCTTTAAGATAACTTATGAAAGACACTACACATTCTGTAATACCCCTGAGCTCCTTAAGTTTCACAAAAGCAAGAATTGCCAAGTTTTGGTGTTTTCCCTTAACTGAAAGCTAAAATAAGAAGCAAGCTATGCTTTACTGCAGTGCTAGTACTGCAAATCCTGCAACCTCAAGTCTTTTCACCACAATGTAAAGATATTTCCTAAAGAATAGAACTACTAGAAGGCATCGCAGGCGACTCACCATTGGCGTCTTGTACTTGTGGCTCACCACTTCTTTAGTTTCAGGAACTAAAACCGGACGGGCAAGAGACAAAACAAAAAGTTCAAAAAACGAGAGGAAAAATGGGAAAGAAATAGCACAATGTTCCCATAGGAAAGGGAAAGGATGCACACAGACAGCAGCTGCAGGAACAGGGCACCTCACTATTCCTCACTTCTAGGTATTTTTCTTTCTCTTCATTTACATTACGTGAGTCCTTGAAGATACCAGTAACGGCATAACAGATAACTTAGGTTGACACAAAAATATTTTGTTGCCTCTTTGGAAAATCATAGTAATATTTGATGGTTCTTACAGCCTCTGGCTTTTCTGATACTACTTATTCCTGTGTTAGACAGCAGAATTAATGATAAAATACACTTAATGATAAAATATGCTTAATACCTACTACCATAAAATATAAAATGACAACTCCTGAGAAATTTGTCAGTACTGAATTCCTAAAGATCTTGTCTTCTAGTTTTTTGAATTCTTTCTTTTCTGCTGCATAACTGATCTCAAGAGAACTGTTGGACCCAACTGTTGGTAGGAAGTTAAGTGAAATCTGGAAATACAAAGAAGATACAGGAGAAAAATTTCTACGCTGGAAGACCGCTTCCCAGCTATGTCTTGAGAGTTTCTGAAGACATTCTTTCTCCTTCCCAGAGTGTGTACACTGATACTTAAACATCTTAAAGATGTTCATTGCTTTTGAATAAATTGCCTTAAAACAAAATATTGATGTTATATGCATTCTCAGAAATATCTGGGTTTTTCATTCCTAGAGGGGGTTATATATAACCAGGATTAGGGGCCTGGTGAAAAAAATCTATAATCCTCAAAAATCATCTTGCTCCCACTACTGCCTCAAACTAATAGAAAGGAAGTGGCCATAACATAGCTAAAGACAATTTCCCTTTGCTCTCATTCTGGACTGCAGGAAATAAACAAATAAAAAGCAGCAAGCTGCAACCCTCCCATTAGTGTGCACTGCATCTGTGCTCTGACCCACACCCGGTCTATAAATATTCTTGTGAACAGATCTCATGGGAAAGCAACAGGAGAGAACAGAGACCACACTAAGAACACAAAAAAGGGCAAATTTAAAATGTTGAGATCAATGGAATAACAAGACCAACTTTGAACATTTTCCTTCCAGAGTAGCTGAAATTTGTCATGAAATTTCTGTGTCACAAAAAAATTTAGAAGTAGTAATAGAGAAGTTATGCAAAACCAAATCATACCAGGCTCACAGAGGAAGAGTGAATGTTTTATTACACACAGTACTAATGAGAGAAAAAGAAACAGACGCAAATGAGTTCAGCATGAAAAACTAGAAAGAGTCCACAACAAAACCTATCCATGCAGATGTCATCTTTTCAACTATGACATGACACAGCTAAACGCTGGGAAAGGAGAAGGATCACACTCTAAGGGGCAAAAATAGGCAGTGCAGACTGGGTTTGAGAAGGTACTCTAAATATAAATCTGTGTCTATGTCATGATATTGTTATTCTCCAAAAGAGAAAGTGAAAAGTATAACTTATGATAAAAGAAATGTAACTTTTTTTTTTTAAATACACTCTCCCTTTCCTTTGAGAGGACAGTTCCATTAAGACCTCAAAAGTAGCAGTAGTGCCCACCCAGGCTGCACTGCCCCAGCGATACCAGTGACTAGAGTTGGGAGGAAAATGAGGTGCACATCCACGCTACCTTACCCGTTGGCACCAGACGTTCCAAATTACCTCCATGTCACCAGGGGATAAAGGTGGCAGTGAGGCTGATGCACAGCCAAATAGAGTAGGATTTTACGGCTGTGTAAGTCTCACTGCCCACTGGATAACGAACAATTGTTCAAATACTCTTCAGAAAGCAGGAAGGGGAAGCTGTAATGACCTTGTGCCATGAGGGATGGAGAGAAGGGAAGTTGTAAAGTCCTGTACCGTAATTGAGAATAGGAAGAGAAAGAAGAGGAGACTATCTAGGCAAGGTACTCTCTCCCCACTTCACAGTTGCCTTGTCTTTAAGTGAAATACTCCTTCAAAGCTCTTCCAATTGGGAAGAACTGTCCTGAAAGCATTGAATTAGGAAGAACATTAAGAGTTGGTTTGGATTTATACTCATAGAAGTCAAAACACTACCACTGCAGAAGAGAGAGGGGAAAAAAAAAAAAGCCTAAAAATAAGAAGTTACCAGAAGTACTTTTTTTCCCCCCTAACATTAAAATTTATTTCTGATGCTATTAAACTAAGCAGATGAAGGTAAGCACCATCCTGCAGCCTTCAGTTCTGTGAATGAAAATATGGCACAAGCAGAGAACAGGTTCGGGGGACACTTTACCTGCTGGAGAACGAAGGTTTTCATAGCAGCGGCAGTGAAGGGGCCACAAGAAAGTAAAGCACAAGTACACAGCAGTAACTCAAATTCCAGAGGGAAGAGCCTTACATTTCCTCACTTCCTTTAAATCTCCATTTGTGGACAACAACCACTGACTTCTGCTTGCATTCTACTCTAAAATCAGCTTCCGCACTGCTATCTAGACCCACTGGTAAGACAAGGAGCCCTTTAATCTCCTACAAACTGCGATATCCCTACAGTCTGATGGTTCATGCTTGCCAAAAAATCAACTGAATGAGACTTCGATCAAAGTACTTCCCATTGAACTAGAGTATACATGTATACTGCTCCCTACCTTTCCTTGGGAAAATACCACTTCAGTTACCTTCCACTCTGTCTATACCATCTGATTGCGAAGTTCACTAGGTGTTAACACGGCTCAGTAAATTCATTCTTAAGATGTCCAGAGAAGTGGTGAATACTATTATTTTGATCTTATCAATCTAAAATGTGAATTCCTCTTGAACAGAACACACTGACATGTCTTCTCACCTTTACAGCACTTGAACACAGTTCTGAGACAGTCACCCATCTCTGTCAAAGAAGAAAGGTTAGGTCCTCTGCAACATCCTCCTTTCATTTTTCTCTTTATTGGATTGGCAAATTGTCAGTCTCATTTGATACATGTAAACTGGTTCTTATGTGTGACCTCTGTTTAGCTATTTTCAATTCATAAATGGTTTAATTTCTTAGCTTTTATCTGCAACATCCAATTCCCAATTTATCTTTTCCTTAATTCTTAAAGATTTCAAAAGTTACAAAGTACAATGCTAGTTACTGCAACAGTTCCTTCCTTACAAAATTTTATTTAAATAAATAAATATTTATCACAGTTATTATTTAGAAAGCTGTATTTCAGAGTTGTCAACAGGAGCTGACCAGGAATAACTAAGTCAAACATTTAATAGTTTTAGATTGCACAAGATGACTGATGAGTACTTTAAGTTACAAATGCCTCTCCTAGAATGATCCAAAAAGGGACTTCCTGCAAGTTAAATATCTTAGCAGCTGAAGCCATATTTTCAGCTAATTTTACGGCTTCCAAACTCTCATCTTTGTGAAACTCATCATTATTGTACTACAAACCTTCAGCCAGCTACCAGAAGTGAATTGTGCCAGTCAGTGTAAAAACACCATCACCAGAGAAATTCACAACTGTGCAGCATAGAAAATTTTCGAGTGTCTAAAATATTGGTAGTTTTTTTGGTTGTTACATAACACAGATTTAATCATTTGAATCATTAACAGCATTTTATAAAAAGAGGGAAAAATAGTTCATCAATTGAAGTGGCAAATCTCTGGAAGATCAGTTTGTGACAATAAGCCAACTGCAATGTCTGGAGAGGCTTTTTCATTAAATAGCATCATATCACCAGAAGGAGATAAAATTTAATAGGAAGCTGCTAATCTTAGGGTCTCTGTTCTTAGTAATATGCTATTTATATTGTAAGAGAGAATTAATCAACCAAAACCTTCAACTCACAGGACTGAATAGCAATCTTGGTAGAGAGAGCTGCTAATATAAATTGTGATTAGTGTCCAAAATATAGATGTTGATCTACTACTGAAATTATATAGTAAGTTTTATCTTCTTTGTAAATGTTTTCAAAGAATCACAGAATGGTTAAGGTTGGAAGGGACCTCTAGAGAGCATCTAGTCCGACCCCGCTGCATAAGCGGGGCTTAATTCATGCACTTAAGACCTAGACATGTGTCTCATGGACAGGTGGAAAAAGACATATTTGAGGACTACTGAAGAGAAGTAAATGGTTTATGGCTATGGAGAGCTGCATTGGAAGTCACTCTTTTACAGGTACTAGTTCAGTACAATCTGAATGACACTAGCACTGAAAAATAGCCCAGGACTTTCCCAAATTAGACCGTAGGTTGGCTATATTTAATAGCAATCACAAACTAAACAGCACAAATTCTCCATTCTCCTTAATCTTTACTTTACCATTCTTCACCAGTCATGCTCTGAAACCAAAATCACGAACTAAGCCGCAACCAAACATCTTCTGCACCGTAAAACAAAAATGAAACTCCACACAGAGCAAGGAAGAAATTTTGTGATAGCACTGATGCTCAGTAAAGAAAGCGCAGTGTACTGAGAAGGATCAACTACAAGTCACGCTTAAAAAATGATTTCTGAGGATCAAAAGGAACACACCAAAGAAAAATCCTGCACACAGTCCGAAATTAATCGCAATCTTGTTTGCTTTGCAAAACTCCAAATGCCTTCTTTGCCTTCTAACAAAAAGCATCTAGATCAAAAATCTTAGTATGGTGAAAATGAAAGTGTAAGTTTTTAATGTCACGTCACCCATCTCCCATTTAGGGAACTTCTTGCATGCAATCTACATTCTTCTCCCATCTTTGAAACTACAGTGCACCTCTGAATCTGAGGACTGGAAATTTGAGTTACTGCCATGTGAATACAGACCTAATATCAAAATAATGTAATTACCAAATTCCTCCAGGACAAAGACTCCTCGCACAGTATTGCACTTTTTAATGTGATTCAGCTCTATGAAAACCTAGAAAAACAGAAAGGAAAATAACACAGAATTAGTCAGAGGGTTTTAATTAAAAACAAAAACAAACAAAAATACCACCACAGCAGATATAACCTGATGTTGTAGCATACAGTACCAGTTCATTTACAGTTTAATATATAAATAAAGGGTGAAATAAAGATTCAAAAGACAAACTTGCCACAATGCTAGAAATCAACAAATAACTTAAAAGCGCTAAGAAGCAAAGACAGCAGAAGATGAAGTACCTTCCGCTCCTTGCAGGAGGAGAAAGCATGGAAGAGAAACGAAGGAGTTAGTAACTGACATATCCAACATTGCTACCCCTTCAGGCACTCATTTGAGTTATTGCAAAAATACCAACACACCTGAAATACAACAGAAGAGGGGGACGAGAAAAAAGCTGGCTCCCAAATTTGGCATGATTTGTAGCCTCTGGTTCATCACAGTTAGTTTCTGCCCCTCCATGCATCCTCCTCCAGCACAGAGGGCAGGTAAGGGGCACTGTGCTTCCCACCCTGACTTTTATTATCCTAAACCATTCAGGAGTCAAATTTAATCAAAAGAGAAACCACTAATCTTCCTCTTCCCTGAAAGCACTGTGATTTAAGATTTAGCTACAGTTTTAGGATATATAATGTCCGTGCTTACTCTTGAAGAGTCAGTACCAAGCTGCTGCTCCAAATAGCATGAAAGTGTTTGGACCCTTCTCTGCTGTTTGCTCACTTCACCCAGTGCCACTGCCAGCTGAAAAGTCACTTAGAACACAGAACTGGTTTAAACTCATGTTTTACAATCACAAACCCAAAAAGACAAAACAGCCGAACTATATCACTAGGTTTTTCAGTCTAGAACCACTTGCATGCCATTTGCATGCATGAGTGTATTAACCTGAGCATAAGGATTTTTTCAGTATCCAATATAATCCAAGGTATTAAACACTTCCTTCTCACATGCCCTGAATGGGTTGTATCTCCAAAAGAGCAAGAAAAAACATTTGGATATGACTGCGCAAAGCATTACAGGGAATCAATCTCGTATTCTAGCTTCCATTGTACTTGCTTTTTCAAGGAAGAGAGACACCAAGAGTAAGACTGCCCTAATATTCACAGTAAGTCTCTTTCAAAAATCTTAAGGACTGTAACAGAACTATATTATAGCAGTATATCTTGATACTTTCAGTTCCTACAGAGTTATGAAGCCCTGATCCTACCACCTTATTCAAAAAAAGTTATTGGAAAAATTACATTGGTTTGAAGAGAAAAGAGAGGAAATCTCTACAATTCTTTTCAATCCAACACCAATAATATCCATGTGGCCCTCGATAAGAAGAGTGTGAGTGTTAAAGGAATAGTCTTATCAGTGTCAGCAGAGGTGAGTAAATGGAATCACCATGTGTTCTGGGGAAGTCACCTTAACTTTCAGTTAAACAGGGCTTTACTATTAGTTTTTATCAATAGAAAATAATAAATAATCTCAGGATAGTTTATTGCATGGCATGAAAAATTAACTTTTCAGTTACTTCACCAGAAAATCTGTAGTTTCTCTTGCTTACATTCAAGCACTCAGAGGAAAGACTAATAATCTACCTATTTTTTTGTCTATTTTTCTGCTTTCACTTGTGTTTAATGTCAGTTTACTTGGTATAAGTTGTGGGTTTTTTTTTTTTTGAGGGAGAGCAACAAAGGAAATAAGACAACAAAATAATTCAAAAGCTCAAATAGCCTTCTTTTTTGTAATATTTTTCTGTGAAAAGTTTCTGCTATAATATAAAATTTAGAAACTCAATAGAAATGCTCATGTGAAACATGGGCTATTTTTAATCTGACAGCAGTAAAGCTGCTTGGACTAGATTTGACTGTCCCAGATGGTCCTGATCTACTTGTGCATAACATTAAAGTGTTTTGCATTTCTGCATAGGAATTATGGCTCAGATGGGAATTTATGGAGTTTGTAATAATTATAGTAAATTTTCAACTTTAAGTTAATTATACATATGGGTTCAAGGCTAATTTCTATATATTTTGATACTGCTGCATTTTTCAAGGGACAGAAATGCTCTCCTCTCAGTAGAAAATAAGCAAGTGTGTAAAGGGAGTAACAACTACTTACCCTACAGAAACTGTGGTTCTTCAAGACAGAGCAGTCAGTGTGGATGCTACTGTATGGAGGGCATGTGCCTGCTGAATTATAAGCTTTCATCTGTTTTTACCCCAGCTGAATTCAGGGACAGAATTACTGAGACCCAATAGCATAACATATTTTATAGGTGAAAGCTCAGAATTCTGTGAATAGTATGCCAATGCCACAGGTACACTTGATTCTTCCTTATTACCAAGGACTTCCTCTGACCTGTCAAGCACAGATACACTTGATTTTTTTTTTTTTAAACTTACAAGTACTGCCAGCATGGGAGACAATTTGTGAAGACAGTTACTGCTCTAGATAGTCCAAAAGACAACTAGCATATGGCAGTAATAGGCTGGCCCACCATATGCCTAAGAGATATCCTGGAAAACTCACATGAGGCAGCGAGAATGGACACACATTGCAAATCAAGGGCCTTCAGAAATAGTTTCATGAAAGCAAACACTATTCTAACACTGAAGCTTATCTTCAGTCTTCTAAAGTAGTCTAAAACAGATCCCCCCTGCCTTTTATTTTCTGTATGAAAATAAGGAGACTCATTCATATATTCTAAATAAATTATTTCTATGACTTCCAAGCAGAACAGAAGATTCCTTTTTTGTAAATGTCCTTCTTAGGGGAGAAAAAAAAAAAAAAAGGAAAGAAAGTCTGTGGAAAGAGCACCAAGAAGGGGGCTTGGATATGGAGTAAGCAAAGGAAGATGAAGAGGCAGTTGTGACTGATGAGGTCTTGTAGGCATTTGCTGGTCAGTACCTCTGTCCAAACTCAACAGAATTAGGCATTTTTTTACCACAGAAAACTGGCTGTGGGCTCCTGTTTTTAATCATGCTCATAAATATTGTTCTTAAAACAGCTGCCTGAGGGAGTTTGATATGCAGTAAGAGAAAAAGGACAATTTGTCTAGAACAGCAAACCTTTTCTTAGAGGGTAAGGCAGACTGGTTGGTAGGTGTTGGAATGAGAATGCAAATATCCTCAGCCTCCACAGATAATATAACTAGAGGGGATTTATATATATACATACACACACACATATATATATACATTGCAACTAGTAGTAGTGTTTTACACAACTGCTACAGTTCTCCATTCTGTGCACTCTCAAATGGCAGACAGATAGAACAGATCTGCCTAGACTGTTTGCTTTGAGATTGAAGAAAATGAGACTATACATTAGGTCCACTAAATGGTACTCAATACCATTGCCAACTGGCAATGTAAATCCAATGGACCAAGGATTCAAACGTTGAAAAAAAAAAAAAAGTATATTTTCTTAACACAGTGGTAACACAGGACCAACCATCTGTGGTGTCAAATTCAACTAGCAGCAGTCATGTCACTATAATAGCAATCTTTGTTACTAGATTTCTCTACAGTTTCTTTTAGGATGTCATTCCCATCTTTCAGAAAAAGAGAGACTTTGAATTTGCAGACAAAGCAATGTTCTAGGATTTGGAGTCATTCTTCTGGAAGTAGCCTGCTCAGCTCAGGTCGAGTGTCTTTGTCCTGTAAGATGCCTCTTACACTCAAGATATTGCCATTAACAATGATGTGGCTAAATCCAATATCACTGCAACTTCCTGACTGCTCATTCAAGAAATCAAATCATCTCCACTGCTCAGAAATGAGCAATTTGAGCTTAATATATTTCTTGACTTAGCAGCAGAAGGCAAAGGAGGAGCAAACTAAATGTTTCTTGTGGTGTGTCCTTCCTTGAGGCAAGAGCAACTTCTATTATCTATAATATCAAACTGTTGCTTGAAGAGCCAATTTTAATCTTCAAAGGCTTTAAACCTTTTTCCTGTTCCGAGGAAAACTGATTTTGTAATACCAAGGAAGCCCTCTTGCAGTTATTCGGCATATCCAATAGAAGTTAAAATCTAAGGCAAGGTGGTAGACACTGTTCATCAGTACTATAGCATGTTAACTGTACTCCAGGTTCCACTCTGGTAACAGAAAGGATCTTCACAATGACTTCACCCTTTATACTGGCACAAAAGAGTCTAAAGAGGTGCATGGAGCTCATGGTGACTTTGGGAAAAGTATTAAATAAAGATTCTGAACATTTGTGTTTGAGATGCATGTGCACTTCCAGCGGGGATCTACACTGATGCATACTGAAAGAAGAGTAAAGGTTTGGGGGGCAGCCTGGCAGGGAGAGAGAGGAAATCTAGTCAGGAGGAAAGGCAAAAAAAACACTCCACAGAAGACTGACTAACAGAAGCTTTTCTTTCACACACACTCAGACACACTCTCCTAAAAACTGATTCTACTGTCTAGCACAGCACGCCTTTAATAACATATGCAAAACAAACAAACACAAAGCAAAAGAAAAAACAAGGACAAGAGGAAGCAACAGAAATTGCATCAAGAAAGGAAGAAATGACAATTTTAGTAGTGTTTCCTCTATGCCCAAAGCACCTGCTATTTGGAAGGAAAAAGAATCAGTGATTTTATTTTTATGCATTACAGCAAGGGGCCACTTTCATATTTAATTTTCAAACTAGGTTCGGCAGATGCTTCCTCATTTTTTAAAAGCAAAATGGATTAAATATGATGCAGATGATTGCCAACTATACACACAAGAATCAAATACTATCTTAAAGTTGACTACTTGTGCCAAAGAGGTATGCTCATGATGAGTTACAGCAGTTTAGATAATCATTGATTGCTTTTTCCTCCTATGACATGCTGTCTACCGGCCTAGACAATTTTGACTACCACAAACAAGAAGTTTGACACTTTTTTTTTCCAACTGATTATCTCTAATGGCAATATATCATTTTTGACACACACACGAATGCATATATACACGCGCATATATATATATACAGACGTGTGTGTATGTATGTAGAGCGTGTGATTACATGAACACACACACTCAGAGTCACACTGCCCCTCGTGATGATACAGTGGGAAGAGGAAACACAGATAGAGGCGTGCTGCAAAAAGCTTCATGCTCACATAGTCTTGTTATAGATTTCCCTCCTACCTGACTGTGCATAAATTTCAAGTTAATTCCTTCCAGTGTGACCTGCAGAAGACCTCCTTCACCAGTTTTCATATCTTGCACAGGGAACTCACCACCCAGCTCAGGGCCTGTAATATGTTAACGACAACAACAAAAACAAAAAAAGGGGAAAAAAAAAAAAAAACAGAAAGCAGTCAGCCAAATATAAGTGCATCTAGATCATCTCAGTCTGTATTATTGCAACTCAATATGGAGCTCAAATACTGTTAAGCTCCCAAAATTTCAAATCTACTTCTCTGAATTTTTGACTCCACAGGAAAAGGAAAGGGGTATTTGCCAAGGAAAATTTTACCATTATAACTATCTTATCCTAAACGACAGTGCTAAACAAAATTCTACAAGAGAAGAGTTACACTGATATAACGAAGTTGGCTTAAGTGCAGTGCTTGGTTTACAGCCAGTTTGAGACTTTCCAATATAAAAAAAGACTTGCACACTGGAAGTCTGCAAAAAGCTATAGACCCATCACTGCAGATTAAGACAAATGAACATATTTATCTCAACAGGAAGAGGACCTATGAAGTAGGTCCACTACACTGGCAAGCTAAGTAGCAGCTGGCCTGCCATGAAGAGAAAATTAAACTGAAGTTGCATTAAGCAGTACTCTCAAGTTACTATTTTACTGGTAGCTAGTCCTCCTTAAAAATACAACTCTTTTATACAGATGTTTGGCTTTTGCATGGAGTTGGAATGAGATATACAGGTACAAATTAACTAACAATAATTCTGCACATGCACAGGTACCTGAAAAAGCTAACCTTAGATTTTCAAATAAAAGGACATCGCATTCAGGGGGATGGGGGCAGGGGGGGAAGGATGATTCATCCCAGATTAAACAAATTCCCAACAGGCAAAAATCTTTACCTGGTTTAATGCTTTGCTGTCTTGCTGCTGCTCGCTCCATACTGTCTTTTACACAGTAGTATAATTCCCGACACTAAAATGTAAGGAAGAGTAACCCACTGTTATGTTCCCAAATTATTAAAGGAAGAGAACAGCAAGGTTCTACAAAAAGAACAAGCCCCACCTGGTACATAACATAAAAATTCCATAAAAAGTTCAACCACAGGAAGTTACTATACAATATTTATATTTATTTTCCAAATTGTTAAGCTAGTGAAGAGTTCATGCCTAGGCAGATGTCACGAGCAATCTAACCAAATTTACTCAATTTTCTAGTGCAGAAAAAGCCACAGAACAATATCACAATTCCTCCCTATTTTTCTCTTCAGCAGTCATGACCACGTAATCTTTTTTACTCATATCAATTTCGTTATGTCCTACCCCTCAGCTCTTCTTCCAACTTCTCTCTCTAAAATCAACTAATACTTGCATGAAATCAGCAAGATCAAACATGGGTCCACAGCAGAAAAGTTTCCTATATTCTGTCAAGTTTGGCTTTACCATTAAAGCAGCACAATCAGCTCAGTTACTAAGATACAGGGTTTTTTAGCTTCTCCTTCCAGTGACACCATCACAATATTTCTACTATCTTTGCAAGCTGGCATGTAATCAATTAATAATAGCAAGGCTTTTCTTAGCTGAACATAGGTCAATCAAGTATTACACTCCCTCTGCATTCTTCAAACAAACAACAACAACAAAAGGAAAGATCACTCATAACTTCTTGAAATGATATCCTGCTTTAGTACTGTCTCAAAGTAAGTGATAGAAATAATGGCAGCTTCAGAACAAGCCACGAAAATATGTCATACCAAGGATTTGATTGTTTTGGTTTCCCTTCAGGATAGTTAGTATGTGTTAAACAAAACACGTACCTTCTTGGTGTAGAACTTGTTCAGTTGTGTCTCTTGGCCGTTCCTCCTCCAGAGGCACAGCACTTTTGTTTTGGGACAGTAAGTCATGTTGATGAGTTTCTCATACCACCACCGTTCATACACAGTTCCAATGTTACTTCTGAGGACAATGCAGTCGTCACACACCTGGCAGCACAAAATCATAGATGAGATTTCTGATGCTATTTACTGAAGGGTACTAGATGTGCTAGTATTTATTCTTATTTCTTACTTCCATGAAGAATATGTCTCCTGTTGTGTCTGTCCCAGCATGGACTACAAAAGTCTGCTTCTTGATGTGGCGGCTGCCACTGGGTCTCACAGAGAGCTCCCGGCCACTCTAGAGCAGAAAATACACAGTCATTAATGAATTTTCATAATCAATTTCTCTTGATCTACTTAAAAACAGTGCGTGACACAAACATTTTCAACATAGAAAAAAATACATATAATTTCAACGTAGTTGATGGAGGCAATTTTGGACAAGCCCTATGCAACATACTCCGAAAGGTTAATTTCAGCAAGAGTGGCTATGGGAGTTATCATATACCACTCAAGCTGATATCACACTCAGTGGGCCACAGTGAGGTACCTAGGTTTCAGTAGCTGTTAACATTGCAGTAAACTAGTCTGTTGTTCTCCCCAAATAATTATAAGAACATTTCCCATAATTCCTGGGCACACAACCAAGTTCCAGTCATAAAAATGCTCTGCAAAACTAGCTTTTAAAGGACATAACATGCATCCACTTTAGTGATGGTTAATAGCTGGGTATTTTTATTAACTTGTATGTTAGCCTATATTATTAATTGGCAATTACAGAAGATGAGGTTTAGTCTGCATGGCAAATGGTAGCAAAAATGCTTGCATGCAGAAATTGATCCCCACAAGATTTATTCTGACCTGGTAACTCATGAAAAACTAGATATTTGTTACAGAATTAGTAAGAACAAACACTCTTCTTCCCTTTCTCCCCATTTGGTTGTTTTCTTGATGAAGTTGAGCCCATCTAGTCTCTCTACCTCACTAAGCATGAACTGTAGGATAAATACTTGAAAATGTAAGTATACCAAAACTTAGTAGCTGACAAAAACAAAACAAAAAACAAACTCAGTTCAGTTCCTTCTCTCCTCTTTGTGAGATCTCATTTGATTTCTTTATACAAGAAACTTTTAAGTTATTAATTTTTCTTTAAATCATTGGTCTACAATAACATATCTCATAAAAATGATATTAAAAGAACATTTGGATTGCACAGAGCTGATACTGAAATGTCATGTTTACACATACTTATGTTGAAGCTTTAATTGATAATTGCATAGAGTGATATTATAAACAGTATCCTACAATCACAGTCTTTGTACTTTACACAAAAGCAGTATTTAATATCTCCTATTTAATTATTTTTAACTTTAGTTTTTCCACAGCATTTATAGAGAATTTTCAGGCAAATGATTTTATTCTACCGCGGTTCCTACAGATAAATCATTCCTTGATGTTTTACTTACCAGATTGGCAAGCTTATCTAGAATATCATTTATTTGCTGGCTGTGCACCAATCCAATATGTGATTTTCCCATCAGACGACGTACCTTTTTCCTAATATCATTCTTGTTCACCTAGAAAGCAGATAAAAGACAGAGTTACCTCCCTTTCTCTAAGCATAAGCAACTCCTCATCCCTCTCCAAATCAACATATCTTGATTCCACTGAAAAGACAATAAAACAGCAAACTCCAGTTCAGTTACATTACATCCAGCAGTGATGTTTGGCAACTTACTGCATCACAATATCTTACAGGACTGTTAATGGTATAAACAGGCAATACGGTTGGTTACAGGCATGACAATTTTAGATCTATTTTTCAGTTACATCCAGTGGAAGATTTAGACTCCTTAAGAAATTATTCAGATTAAAGGGAGGGTATTGCTTGGAGTCACCTAAAGTATTAAGGCGCATCCAAACAGTTTACTGAAGCGGGGAGGGAAGGGGCTGGGGGAGTTGCTTAGCGCTAACCGCACATTTCTTGAGTTATTCTTATGCACAATCTGTCCACATGTTCCTTTTTCTTTTAACTGCCATAAGAGAACTTGAAGTTGCAGTTGAAAGAAAATGAGGTTAGGAGACACTCTACCAAATTTATAACCCCTGCACCTAACAATTAAGAGTATCCTCTAGAGGGCTAAAAGGTTTCATTTCAAATGGCAATATATATGCATGCCCATAGTACAGAACTGTATAAACTGAGACAACACATCTCAAACAATCTCCAGGCACTGAAACAATTTCTTTTCTCATTATGATCAGGAAGCATTTTATAGAACTTCTGTCATCCTACAAAACAACACCTACAAAATATACTGCTTAGATCTATTATATAGAAAAAAGGATCACCTTGATCATAAGCATATAGGCAATCATATTATGCAACAGTGTAGCCAACAAGCGGTCCTCATCATCCTCCAAACGCTTTCGATCGTGTTCTCCCAGGGAAAGATACCTGTCATAGAATCATAGAATGCTTAAGGTTGGAAGGGACCCCTAGAGATCATCTAGTCCAACCCCCCTGCACACGCAGGGTCACCTAGAGCACGTGGCACAGGACTGCATCCAAGCAGGTTTTGAAGATCTCCAGAGAAGGAGACTCCACGACCTCTCTGGGCAGCCTGTTCCAGTGCTCTGTCACCCTCACTGTCAAAAAATTTTTCCTTAAGCTCCTGTGGACCTTTCGGTGCTTCAGAGCAGCTAGATTTGAAGTAGACTCAAAGGCACTTTTCATCCAACTCACTAAACCACTGACAAAGCTCAGAGCAGTATCTATGAAAGGTAAGGCAAAGGAAATTTCCAAAAACATTAAGCCAAATGGGCATTTCCTAATATCATGTTCTGTTTGTTAATTAAATATGTCCATTAATTATTAAGCAGTAAAAGTAAATAACACATTTTCAGCTGCAAAGTTCCTAGTAATCCAGTGGGTCTACTTCCTCTCTCCCATAGCTGCAGGTTCACAATAATTACAGCTGCTTGAAGAGGACCATATAACTCAGTGCAAGAACTACTTCCTTAAAGCTTTACTTCTGTTTTGCAGCTACATTTAACTGATACAGAAAGTGTTTGGTCTTTGGGTAACACGCCCTCTCTTTTCCAAACTGTGTTCCTTTTCCATAAACCAGCATCCTACAAAATAATTCTTATTTTGGCTCCAGATCTTATTTTGGCTACCCTTCTACATGGTAGCAATTTTCTGCTGCAGGTGGTATAAAGAGAAGAGAATGATCAGATTTTGACACAGCCGGGGGTGGGCGCCGGGAAGCAGGCAGTGAATACAGACAGCCTACAAGCAGGCTAAGTTAAGCAGCCACACAAGTATTTCTAGAGTGGTTCCCTCTCTCTGTTTATTTTAATTAAATATTGTCAACTAAAACCACCTATAAATATCTTTAAAAATGCATTTTCCAACATGCAAAGATATTTACATCTTCAACTTTACTCCAATGCACTGGCAGCTTCCTTATATTCCAGAATATAGTCATCCTGCCTCAGAATTCCTTTGCTTTATTACTGCTCTAGTCTATTTCATCTATTTCTACTGTGATTATAATCACATTACTCATTTCTCTGGAAATATCACCTCTATACACATATTAAAATAAACATGTCTTGGCTGACGATGGTACATAGGCTGTAGTAGATGCTAGACAGCACAGAAACAAGTGGTTCATTTTTGAGCCTTCAGTTATAGTAACAAGGTTTTCAAAGTGACAATAGCATGTGCCACAATTAAATTAATTTTTGACTGTTTTAGCTGAGGTGGAATAATGAATAGGAAAAACAACTACCAAAGAACTTTACCTGTCAATCATCTCCTGGGGTCCCTGGTCCATCCCCATTCCTTCTCTCTCTAACATCACAGCATCCAAAAAGGCATCTTCCCAGAACTGCATCTGATCCCACAAAGTTGAGCGCTCTTTGCCTGTGCAGTGAACACAGAAAGTGAGTGTTTATTCCAGCTAAGTATTCAAAGATTAATTCCCCTTCTTTGTCATTTCTTGAAAATGCCGTAAACAGACTAAACAGACACACAAATATTCCATACTCAAAAAGACAAAAAAATTTTTTTTTTAAATCACAGGCAATATCACAACAGGAAAAAAAGAAAAAAAAAAAGTGAAAGGGAGGACATATCTCCTATTCTAATGCATGGCACAGTCTTTCCAAAACCTTTTATTAAAGAATTTCTCATTCCTATTCCTCAAGAGCATACCTTCTTTCATCTGCTGTTAGCACTGCTCCAAAGAGACAGGAATATCACACACAAACACAGATCATAGTAAGCACACAGAGAAGTGGAAAGAAGAAATTATTACTCATAGAGAAGGTTTCCATTGCAGCATCCTCTAATTGGTCCCAGACAGATCCTTTATCCCTACCTGCATCATTCCAAGCAGGTTGAAATGAGAAAGAGAAAGGATGAAAAGGAGAGAGAAAGCTCTGGATTAACTGCAAGTCCAGATAAAATACATCAAAAAGAACAATAACAAAAAAACAGCAACAATATCCTGTTAATTCACAGAAATGCTCACAGGGCCATTAGTATTCCAAGAATATCATCCCTCTTCAATGAGTTAAACTGAAGGATCTGTTTGCAGAGAACAGCAACGCACTTCAGCCTTCCACACATAGTGAGCTTAGCTGTTTCTCCCCTCTTTAACCCAGCAGTCTATAGCATTTATTTATATTCGAGTACAGCACAGGGCTTGGACAATCTACATTTTAAGCAAATTACACCTCTCACCCACCCTCTCTTATTCAATATCCCAGCAAATCTTTCTCTCTAGTCTGAACACCATAACGAGCTGGCTACTCTGGTAGTACGGAAAACATAAATGGTTAAAAATCCAATGTTTGAGAAAGTATAAATTCCAGCCTGCTAATATAACTTCAGTCTATCTCCACATAAAGAAGAAAAAAAAAAGTTTACCCAAAAGCCCTTCATAGAGATAGACCCGCTGGTTCCCATCCTCTGGGCCTCTCCCTGGAGAACTGCCTTTGTTATCCTTTGTGCTCTGCTTCAGATTATGAGACTTTGCCTGAAAATAATATAAAATAGAGTCAGAAAAATCAATCTGGCAGCCTGAAGGACCATTAGTGCAAGATAAAGCAGATGACCCTTCCTGTCTCTCTACCACCAGATAAAATACACTGCAGTACTTCAACACTTGACATTCATCACGTACCCCTGAATTCTCTTTTCTAAATCCCTCTTGCAGAGCTCCTTAAAAATTCACATAGTTTCAGTGATCAGGTAGAAATATCCATAAAAGTGGAAAGTGTTTTTAACAAGTCCAACTCTAGAAACTGAGTGACATGATTACATCATATTCATTCTATTTGAAGAAACTTGCAGTGAAGCATAATGATTTTGTTTGCTACTTAAAATTAGATGTGAGCATGTAAAGGTTTTAACTATTTAATTAGGATTATAAAATGAACATAGACAAATTTTGAGGCATTACCAGTTCATGTGGTTGGCAGTTCAACTTAACTAAATCAGGCATATAACTGCTTTCTTGGTAAGAATATATATGTTAGTCAAAAACTTGAGCAAAATGTGCTGTCAAACTGCTTAAATTTTATTTCTCACAGATACACTAACTTGGAACAGACATTTAAAGTGAGGATGACACTTCAGACAATATTAAAGTAATGCTTTTAACAGAACAGTTGCTAAACCTATGATGGGCCATTGTTTCCCTGTAGCACAGTTACTCCTACGGAATGGGATCAGTTCCTCCTAGTTAAGGTCAAACAACATCTAACATGGTCAGGGAACTGAAATAGGATTAAGTCTTGGTTGAGAGCAACACTGAATGAGGGATGATAAATATTGCTAGAACCTGTAACATCAGTTGAGATGTGAATTTACTATTTTCAAAGGAGTACATATTCCACAGGAAATAAAAATGGTTCATGGATCCACACAAAATGTAATTCTTTAACATTTTGGTAGTGTACATATTTGATAGAATATATTTTAAGTCAGTGCTGATCAACTCTTAGGATAGGATCAGAGATCCCCTTTCAAGCATATGCACACATTGAAATAATTACAGTACAAGATTTAATTTAAAAAGAAAAATAATTAAAAAATCTGGACTGTCCTTACAAAGATAGAGCTCGTAGCAGAGTTTGTCTCAATTTCGCTGTCTGACACAGTACCCCTCGACCCTGTCAGATTGCCACCATTTTCCACACCCGGGCCATCACCAGCATTGCTGCTTAAGTCACTGTCTGCCCCTAACGTCTCTCCAGAGCTGTTACTAACCTGTGGAGAAAAAAAATAAAGCAATTACCCTCAATAGACAAGACACTACAGAAAGAAAAGTTGAAAGGTATTACCCTCCTAAGGCGTAAAATAATAAGCAGCACAACTGAAAGCCACTTTCAGCTTCTCTCTTTTATTGACATGATCCTCTCACCAAATCCCACTATGCAGAGCAAGGTGGAGAGAGACTCAAAAAACTCTCAGGAATTCTAATTTCTGAGTCCATTATAGATACTCTGAGTATTATTCTTGTTCCATGCTGAGAATAGGTCATGGAAAGCTACTAACAGCTACACTGCAATTGGAAAAAAGAAAAAAAAAACGTTCCTGAGGCTTTACCCTGGAACATGCCACATGAGACAATGTGTGGGAAGGAGGCTCATTGCCCATCTCTGAATGCATTCTGCGGGCTTTTCTCTCCAGAGCCTACAGTTAATCAGAATCAAGCAGCCATATTTTAATGTGGTTCAATTACTTTATGCTATTACATCAGAAGTTTTGTGCTTGCTCTTAATGCATCTTAACCATCCACTTTTTTCACTCTCACGTTACACTTTTAAACTTTTATTGTTCATAGGCAGTTTTACACAGGACTAAGTCATACTTAATAAAGTGACTGTAATCTACCAGTTCCATATACACACCTATATGTCACCAGTCCATAGGAAGATATAATAAAGAGCATCACATATGAAGACACATATGTGTCTGCATGCCCCATCAGGCACACTTGCTTGCCAGGTACACACTCTTATGCCTGCATGGCAGTGTGCAGCCATATCATACACAAAATGCATGCACAAAATGCCTCCCCACCCCTTGCCACTTTACCAACCAATGAATCACATCAAGTTTTCACTTGAGGGATATCCTACCACTGTGCTAACTTCAGAATCCTGGCTTGTGCTTCGGACCATTACTGCTGGTCCTCCACTGGGAACAGAGTCCAAATCGCTCTTCTGTAATTAAACATATAGAAGGGACAGGAAGAAAAGACACATCAGTTCTTCCCTCATATAAAAAAAATGATGAACACCACTTTCCATGCCTTTAGATCCTAAAACATAGGCCTTCTATTTCCTTGCTGCATGAAGCCAACTAAAGAGACAATACTGTCAATGTATTGTCTCTTCAACCAAACAGACCATGGGGTCATACAACTTAAGGAGTTAGCAAAGCTCAGTCCCCTAAAAGAAGGGAAGAAATAATAATAAATGAGCCTTTAGGGAATTCTCAGACTCTAGAAGTCTTCCCACAATAAAGTGGTAATTAGAGGAATCCTTTCCCTCATCACATAAGTAAAACAAGCACAGGAGAGACTGACCTGAGAACCTGAGGCCAAACTGACGCCACTGTCTGCACTGATTTGTGATTTTTTCTCATCTGTTTCTCCCAAATCAAAGTGTTTCACACCTTCTGGTCCTGAGCAAAAGGAAAAAGTAGATCATTATTGTACTAAGGAAAACCAGTATGGCAGAAAGCAGAGGACAGATTGGAAGCAGGGACAACAGTATGAAAACAAATTTGCTTTCTTATTCCTTTTATTTCTTATTCCTCAGCACTGTAAACAAGTTGACCAGCAGAATACACCTGCCATTCTTAAAATTTTAGTTTGGATTTTAAATACTCCAAAGGCATAGGCCGTCTGTGACTATCACTAAACAGTACCTTTACCAGCTATTCAAAAGACAGAAGAGCACAGACAAAGATCAAATAGCTTCCAGTTATAACAATACATGCAGAGCAGTTGCCATTCAACTCTGGGAAGCCACTTGTGTAATTTCTGGTAAAGTAAGTAATACTTAAGTATGTAAAATCAGAGGACTTTTCTGAACAGCTAATTTGCTCAATTTCTTGGACAAGTTAGGTTGCAATCAAAAAATATTTAGGCAAAGATCAGGCAAAACATGGCTTGAACACACAAAACACACAAAATCAAGGAAGAGGCTTGTATGATGTACTTCACACTTGTCAATTACATATCAAATGGCTCTCCAAAGTTTGCAGTCACATAGGTCAGTAGTGAGAGAGGGATTCAGCAAGCCTTAAGTCATGCATTCATTAATCTACCCAGTTTGAGAAGGAAATAGGAAAAAAAAA